GTCTTCTCTTGGTTTTGGATCCCACCAAATATCCAGATCTAACGCATTTGGGGTTAATATCGTCATTTCACAATCACCCTCCTGTAAAACTCACGCCAAATTCTCCTTTCCCCATTTTCTTCCCACTTTCCATTCACCAAATTCCCCGCGCATCTCTCCTCCGCCGTGCACCACCATTCTCCGCCACCAGTTTCACCACCGCAGTCTCCATTCCACCGCCTCTCAAAATGACGAAACTACCCATCCTCCTCCTCCTTCTACTCTGCCTCTCCTCATTCACCGCCGGCGAAATAAAAAAACTCAAAATCCGATCTGATAACCGGCCCATGATCCTCTTCGAACGGTTCGGGTTCACACACACGGGTCAAACATCAATCTCCGTCTCCTCCGTCTCTGTCATCTCCACCGTAACATCGCCTGACGCTTGGCGTCTCGGATTCTTCCTCTTATCCGAAGAATCCCTAATTCAAGTCCTAATTGAGCTTCAACAAAACCCTAATTTCTGTGTCCTTGATTCAAATTACATTCAACGTCTTTTCACTTTTCGTGATCTTTCTCCTCCGCCTAATTCGTCGTTCGATCTAGCTTACCCTGTAACTTCACCTAATGAATACTCTCTGTTTTTTGCTAATTGTGCACCTGAATCGAAGGTGTCTATGGATGTACGTACTGAGCTTTATAATCTCGATGGCCGTGTTAAAGATTATCTCTCTGCAGGTTTTGTTCGATTACCCTCTATGTATTTTTATTTTTTTATTTTTTGGTCATTTTCTGTTTTTGGATATATACAGATGTATCTTATGTTTGAAGAGTAGGAAATCCATGCATTTGATGAGTTTCCACCGGATACCTGGTACCTTTCACTGGCACAGGTACCAGGTTAGTTTGTCTGCCAAGGCTTAAACAGATGGGAATCACCTTGATAGAAATGTCCTTTTTGTTTTGGTTTGGCGGAAATGTTTTCCAGGAAAATATATTCCTTGATGGAATCGTTTTCCGGCATTTTACCTTGAATTGTAAGAACCAAATATTTTCCTTGAGGAGATCGTTCTTCATTGTTTATAACTTGAATTGTGAAAACAAAATATTTTTTTCATGATGAAATTATTTTCGGTTGTTTGGTTACCTTGAATTGTGAAAACCCCCTTTTACAAGAGAAATAGTTTTCATTAACACAGGGAAAATGACTTGGGGAAAGTAATTTCTTCTTGCGGATATCCAAATCTTATTTCTTCTTGCGGATATCCAAATCTTACTTCATATTACTTGTTTCATCAATATTCAAAAGTATCACCAAAACATATCCTTCCGTCTTATTCTTGTACTATTAACATATGGTACTTTTATACCAACCAAACACTGGCAAATGACTTTACGAATAGTCCTTTATAATAAATGCATCTCTAGATAATGATACTTTTACTAACTAATCCTACTCAAATATAATGAATGCTACGCGGCAACCCACATTAGTGCCACATTAGTGGAAATAACAGTGATTCAGCTACCCACTTTGTATTTTCCCTCTGCATATTCAACTAATCATAAATTTGCCCTATTTCTGCAGGTCTTACTCAGTTGCCCACGTTGTACTTTTTGTTTTCCTTGGCTTATTTTGGCTTTCTGGGCGTCTGGGTGTTGGTATGTTTGAAGAATAAGAAATCTGTGCATAGGATTCATGGGCTTATGGCACTTTTGGTTGTAATGAAGGCGTTGAATTTGCTTTTTGCTGCTGAGGATAAGCATTATGTTAAAGTTACTGGGACTGCACATGGATGGGATGTGTTGTTCTACATTTTCCAGTCCATGCGTGTGGTTTTGCTTTTCACTGTTATTGTTTTGATCGGTACTGGGTGGTCGTTCTTGAAACCATTTTTGCAAGAGAGGGAGAAGAAGGTGCTGATGATTGTGATTCCGCTTCAGGTTTTGGCTAATGTGGCTTCGGTTGTGATTGGAGAAACAGGTCCTTTCATTAAGGATTGGGTGACTTGGAATCAGGTCTTTTTGATTGTTGATATTATCTGCTGCTGTGCTATTATTTTCCCCATTGTGTGGTCAATTAGGTCGTTGAGGGAGACTTCCAAGACCGATGGGAAGGCAGCAAGGAACTTGGCAAAGTTAACTCTTTTCAGGCAGTTTTATATTGTGGTGATTGGATACTTGTACTTCACAAGGATCGTGGTTTTTGCCTTGAGGACAATTTCAGCTTATAAGTATCAATGGGTGGCATATTCTGCGGAAGAAATAGTTAGCTTAGCTTTTTACATGGTGATGTTTTACATGTTTAGGCCAGTGGAGAAGAATGAATACTTTGTTCTTGATGATGAGGAAGAAGAGGCTGCAGCATTGGCCCTTCGGGATGAGGAGTTTGAGCTGTGATTTTGAGATCTGTGGCTGCTCTCTCCTGCCATTATACAGTTGTCAGCCTAACACTGCGAGTTTTATTTAAGTGATAGTAGGTTTACCGGGATGAATTACAGTTCACTTTTCTTTTTGGTAGCTTTGGAATCACAAAAGAGGCTTGTAATTTTGGATAATGAAATTCTGATGTAATGTAATTGTTATATAAACCTCATTTCATGTAATAGTCCCTTATCATGATTTTGTTTCATCTGTCCCTTCTATTCTCTTTCCTTGCCTTCTCTCTCCACTAAGGAGTCAAGAACTGACATGAAGTTGTTAAGAAGTGCATGGTCTTCACACTAAAATTTAACTTAGCCATGCTTTTTTCAGGCTGTTGGCTTGGTGGCGGTAATTGTTTATTGTCCATCTCGTTATGTGTTTTTTGTTGTGTCTTATGTTGTTTGAATTATACTCTTGACGACTTTGGGGTGCACTGGAGCGTGCTCATCATAGACTGGGTTAAGTTTTTTCCACTTACATAATCCGTGGTGGCAAGCGTTTAACTGAATCCGCTTCATCAAAAAATAATATTGTGTATATGTATAAATTAGGATTAAATATTTTAATATACATATTTTATTTGAACCCACTTGACAACTACTATTTTACGACTAAAATTATGTACTTTTAAGATTGAACCCGCTTGCACAAAATCCTGGGTCAGTCACTGTACATAACACTACTACATTGATAAAAGGGAAAACTTTGTGTCATGTAAAAAACAAAGTCCTTCCAGGGACATATATGATACGAACAATCGGAATCTAAAATTCACTTATCATTAGATTTGAAATTAGTTTCGGTCGCTAAAAATATAGTTCCCTCGATCTCATCCACTGCTACACTAACTTCAGCAGTATCAATATTTTCGTGCTCCTTTTTCTTTTCCTTATACTTTTTTGTTTTCGACTTAAAGCAATCAAACGTATTGTAGCCTTTCTTATAACAATAAACACTAACTTCAGCAATGTCAATTTTTCGTTCCCCTTTTTCTTTTCCTTATACTTTTCGACTTAAAGCAATCAAACGTATTGTAGCCTTTCTAATAAAAATAGCAACACTCAAAATTATTGTAGCCTTTCTAATAAAAATAGCAACTCTGTAGTTACCGCATGCAAAACCTCATTTGAGAGATATCAAATGATACATGATTTTATCTTTCTGTCTATGACGATAAACTCCTCGTCCGTCATTTCAAATCTCTCAAATGAGGTTTTACGTGAGGTAGCTGCAAAAAGCACAACCAAAGGCATGTGAGAAAAATTAAAAATTATGTACATGAAGAGAACAAATGGCAAATAAACTTTACCTGAAGTAAAAGCTTTACATAAAGTAAAAGCTTTACATATCTCATATGGGTGAAGATACATCTATACTCTCACATCTAAACAATTTGATTCCTTCTTATGGATTTGAGTAATATAAATGTTAAAACTAAATATGAAGATAAGTTTGTGTTATAACTTTGTTTCAAATTTAGCAATTACCCATGTGGCGGAATATATTTACCCGTCCCTACCCATTACCTTTTTTTCCTACCCAGCCAAATGAAGTCAAACCAAGCCAAGCCAATTCAAGCCAAACCAAACCAAATCAAGTCAAACCAAGCCAATTCAAGTGAAGCCAAACCAAACCAAACAAAATCAAGTCAAGCCAAGCCAATTCAAGGAAGCCAAACAAAGTCAAACCAAATCAAGCTAAGCCAAGCCAAATGAATAGAAAAAAAGTTGGAATGGGTAGGTAGGTAGGTAGAGGTAATTAGTTTTAATTGAGTAGGTATATATTGTAAATAGTTTTTAAATGGGTAGGAAAGGATAGTTATTTTAAGTTCAATGGATATTTTGCATAAATTGCTCTACAAAATCACTCCAGAAAAAGGCTCACATAAGTGTCTCTCAAACCAAACTCTCTTACAAATACTCCCTATTCCAAAAGAAGAAAAGATAAACTCTCGACTCTCAAATCGGTGTTATCGGGTGAACTATCATCTGCCCATTTTATAGCCAAGAGAAAGTAGTTGCTTGGCTAGAAAAGAGCCAGCAACTTTCAAAACAAAAGGGCCACAATGGGCCAACAAAGCAACTACTACAAGGCCAAACGTTGGCCTAATAAAATGTTACTGAGTCGTTGTCCTTTTTTTTTTTTTCAATTACCCTGGCTTTTGTGAAGAAAAGCCATGATGCCAGCAGAAAGGCTGCTGCAAACAATGAATAAAACTTAATGAAATATGGGAAGTAGATTGAGATACACTGACTCTTATTCTGGAAGCTGTTCAAGAATTGTCTTCCAATGTTTGGCAGTGATGGGATCAAGTCATTTCGCAGATTCGATAGAACCCAGTAATCCGAGGTTGAACTTTGTATGTATGAACGAATATGTTTAGATAGATTTAGAAATACGTTTCCAGACCCAATGTCGTTACTCAGAATCCACAATATCTAAATCCTGAATTCACCGTTGTGTTTCGGCTGTTTTGGTTTTGCCTACAAAGATGAAACCTGAATTTGAAACTTACAATGTGCCTTCACTGCAAACGTATTTGGCACAATAGACCACAGCTTGATCAGCAGAACCCCGCTAAAAAATAAAATGCAACGTAAAATAAAGTAGAAACCCTCATTTGAAAGGACAGTGTGTTCACATATTTATGTTATTCAAAACAAAATATTGGTAAGACTAGCATTTTGAATTTCATCTCAGCTTTCTCTATAGTAAATGAACATAAAAAGTACTCATTTGAAAGGGACTGAAGCCTGGACATGCAGGCAGATGATCAAAACATTTGTAATTGTCATCTCACATCCTAATAATGCTCACATGGAAATGGAAAGTAGATTATTTTGAAGATGGAGGAGATTACTGAAGAAGTCGAACAGCAATTTGGTTATTAAGAACGAAGCCTCTGTTCTTCGTAATAAATGCGTGTGTGGCTAAAGCCTGCGAAGGGAACTGCACAAGGGCCACTCTAGCTGGTGGTCTGCAACAAATAAACCAAAACTCCATCTTATAAGGAACAGAGAACACATCACAGTTAAAAGAGCCAGCGAGATGTGAGTGGTAAAGCTTCTATACCTATCAAAACCTCGTTGTTGTCTGGCGAATATTTGGATTGATGATCCATCATACTGGCAACCAGAAAGAAAACGTTCCACATCATCCGCCAGTGCATTCCGTGGGATCCCTTGCAATAAAATCTGAAAAAGCCGACAACCATCAATAGATTTTTTGCTTCAAAGCCCTTTTGTACTACTATTAGAAATGAATGAATCGAATATCCATCTTTAATTTATCATCAATCTCATTGCATTCAGAAAGAAAGAAAAGTTCATTGGTATTTTTTTTTTATTAAACTACTGTGTGGAACAGCTTGGGCCCACCTCGACTACTCCACTAGGTACTTGTTACTTTCCACCAGCACATGTATTAACTCCGCTCACTAATGCTTAGGCGGATGAGAAAAAATCACCTTGTGTTTTTTCCCGGTTTTTATTTGTCATCAGCCCTTCCACCACCATCTACCACACTCCTACACGCCAAAAAGTAAAAGACAACCAGAAAGAATGATGAAGACAGTTAACACCAAAGACCCACTTACAGTTTTTCCATCATAGTGTGGCAAAGTGTCCCACTGCTGACGATCAGCCTACAATCAGAAAGGTAAAGAAATGATGATTCTGCATGCAAACCTCCAGAGATTAATAATCAACCAGATGTATGTTCGAAACAGTACCCTCTCCATTCTGAACAAGCGACTCGTCCGAACAACTGCCCTCAGTGAAGCGTCATAAGCATTCCGAGTACGGAACTGAATCATCCTATTCGAGAGATATAATAGGGAACAGAGACGTAATAAGCATTTTCTTCTTTGATACGCAAGCAATAGGCATCCATTAATTGAATATTTTAAGTAATTTATCAAAAATATATATTAAGTGCTTAGACAAGAAAAATAAAACTACTTCTCGTACAAACAAACAAACAACTAATACCATAAAAATGCATACATGAAATGGATGCCTATTGCTTGCGTATATTAACTAATACCATAAAAATGCATACATGAAAGGAGTCAAAGGTTGGTAAATTCTTCACATGAAGCGCAACTCACAAAAAGGTAAAAGGACAAACAAACAAAAACAACAACTTCAAAAGCTACTGGTGGAAAAAGAAACAACTCTGATAAGAAACATCCCAAGGAAACTGGTATAAACTAAGGAGTAATCTATTACCCACATTGACTAACTATTGGTAGTGTAATCCAGATTAACTCAGCAAGCTATTAGCCAATACTACCTTAAAAATCATTTAAAAAATTAAAGCAAGACATTCAATATGATAACAAACTGGTGGTCATTTGATTGGTAAACAAGTTATACCAGGATTACAATACGCGAATTAAATAACATGATTATTTAGTAGAGATACTTCTAACGATACACGTTTCGTTCATTGGACTAGAAATGGATATATAGGGTATAATATAAAACATGTGTTCAGTTTTACACTAGATAAATTGGGAAAAATGTTTATTTCCAATTTCATCCTTGAATTTTTTAAAGGACTTTGGGAGAAGAGTTTTGGAGAAAACATCTTTGTTATTTTGGTGTTTTATCCCGGGAATAGTAATCCCCGGATTGTTACCCACATTGCATGTGGTATAAAAAAACACCACAATTATGATATAAATCCCTGGATTGTTAATTCTGGAATAAGAAATTCAACCAAACACGAGATAAAATAATCTCGTACGTTCTCCGGGATTGTTATCCATTATCCAACAAACCAACGACCCATAGGTTTTTATATAAGTAAAAGTAAAATATTTTATTCATAAGAACATCCTCCAACATTAAGATAGTGTTGGATTATAAATAAGTATTCAAGGAAAGTTTATTACAAGAAGGAACCATTTCTCACCCAAGCCTACCTATCCAATGTATTCGAGGGAGAGGCTAGAACTGAAAAAGACCAGGTTCCACACATATGAGACAGGCAGAAGGTATAGGTTGAGCAGTTTCTTGAAGAGCAAATTCATCTTATAGTTATCTTCTTTGTTCGAAAAATGCACAATGGAAAGGGATGTTAGTCAGCGCGACTAAGTTGTAGCCCCAAAAAAGAAGATCCAGAGTACTTCCTCACCTAACATGGCCCAGTGGAATGCTCGAGTTTAGCTTCTCCATCTCATGTAAACGGCTAGGGCCGGCCGACTGGTAGATCCAAAAGGATCTAGTCATAAGCCTAGTCGGATATCGTTTGTCCAGAAACAAAACAAAAACAAAGTTGATTTTTAATAGTAGTTCATGAGAACTTGAATTCACACGTTCTAGCGTGCATTACACCAACAGGTCCCACCACCGACTCTAGCTGAGAAGTTGAGTCACCTTTCTTTTTTCAAAGAAATAAAACAAAATAAAGAATGAGATAGTCTATATCTAGCAACGACCATAGGATCACTCTATGAATAGGTCAATTCTCTTTCACGTAATAGTATGACTCCAAATATTGCTTTGGACATAAAAGTATAGTATTCATCATTAGGTTTTACTAGCCTTAACACTCTTAGTTATTCATCATTAGCTTTTGACGTAATAGTATGACTCCAAATATTGCTACCAAATGATAAAGATTTCCTTTACAAAGAACCCACATCTTGCCAAGGTTTTATACTATGATCCTTACATAAAATTATCGATTGTATCTAAGTATATAATATTTGGCAAAGTCTGTAAAGGGGATAATAATTTATTCTTGACATGCATTTCATAGAGCTTTTAATAGGGTATGAAAAACAAACCTTTCTCTTTCATACTCAACAATCCCAAAACAATTTTCATATATTGGTAGGCATTAGTAATGTTCCTAATAGCTATGACCTGAATATTCTTTTTGATAAATTAGCTAAGACATGAATATTTCAAGGATTTTTCCAGAATGTTGGTTGCCTGGTCTGAGTGAAGTCAAACAATCAGAAATCGAAACCCAACATTTTTTATTTTTACAACAGAGGTGTTCAAAGCTAAGGAAGTCCAAATTAGAAATCAAATCCACAGTATTTATATGAAATGGACAAAAGCTAGGAAAGTCCATATCAACGGTCCATTCTTGTGCATAAAAATTCAGAATCATTATTCTCCGTAGATGAAATTGATCCATCACATTTTTGGCTCGATATGACATAGCCCAAGAAATAAATCTGTGAACCTCTGTTAGATCAAAGTGGACAACACATACATGGGTTTGGGTTGAGAGAAAAACCGACACATTGCATTTTGAATATGACTACTAAAATATGCTATTAGAAACATTTTACTGGATATATTAAACTGCTATTGTGCATCAATATATATTTGATCAATAATATTAGTGCAGATCAGTGGTTTAATCTGTGTCTGATTTCAGTGGTTAATTTCTAAAACATAGCCTATGTTACCCTCTAATATAAGATAACAGATAAAATCACTAATGTGCATTAAAAAAAGCAAAATGATATGGATCGGTATCTTTAATTCTCACATGCATCTTCCGAAATTAATTAAATTTGACCTCAATTAAAACTGACAAATTGTCCTAATATCAAATCATTAATTTCCACAAACAATGATTTTAGATGGCATGGAAAAGATCTTTTTATTTTTTGTATATCTCTCATAAAATTTGTGCTTTGCCGGGAATTAAAAATTTTGAACCTAAGAATGATGGGTAACTTTAACGAATCTTGTTATTTGGAAGTAGAAAGAAAGTTAAGCGAAGAAAAGGTTTTGGATCAAAGAAAGAGAGAGAGAGAGAGATTGAAGGAAGAATGGTGGTGGTTGTTGAGGGAGACGGATGGAGCGAGGAGGGAGAGAGAAAACATGGGATAAAAATCTTTATTTTTATATATGAGAAGGATTTTTGGAGAAGGAATCGAATGATTTGAGTCAATTGCAGCTCATGTGTAAAGAGGCTGTATTTTTTGGATTTGCTTTTGGCTTTCACGTGCTCTGGTCCAATTGTGCGCACTTTCTTTGCCATGTCAACAGTTAGGGTGGTTATAGATACACTTTGGACAAGAACATGGGGTATTGGGACCCTGAAAATTTTGTGTAGTTGAAAAATGGGACAAATTTGAGGGGGTCAGTATGTATTATCCCAGGATTAAATTATAGTTTCATTATTTCAAAATAGAGGCAAGCGTTGATGAGATGTTGCATGCACGGGTGCGGCCTAGTGGCCAATGGAGTGGGTGAGAACCATGAGGTCTCGGGTTCAAATCCCAGCGAAGGCAAAAAATACTAGGTGATTTTTTCCCATCTATCCAAACCTTGGTGGATAGAATTACCTGGTACTTGTTGTTGGTGGGAGATTTCAGGTATCCCATGGAATTAGTCGAGGTGCGCGCAAGCTGGCCCGGACACCATGGTTATAAAAAAGAAACAATGAGATGCCCACAATAGTACCTAATACAAATACATGTAACTATATCCACTAAAACTTAGGAAGATGAAGAAATCACCAAGCGTTTTTGCAGGGACTAGAATCCTGATTTCCCATGGCAAAAAATACTAGGTGATTTTTTCCCATCTATCCAAGCCTTGGTGGATAGAATTACCTGGTACTTGTTGTTGGTGGGAGATTTCAGGTATCCCATGGAATTAGTCGAGGTGCGCGCAAGCTGGCCCGGACACCATGGTTATAAAAAAGAAACAATGAGATGCCCACAATAGTACCTAATACAAATACATGTAACTATATCCACTAAAACTTAGGAAGATGAAGAAATCACCAAGCGTTTTTGCAGGGACTAGAATCCTGATTTCCCATGGCAAAAAATACTAGGTGATTTTTTCCCATCTATCCAAGCCTTGGTGGATAGAATTACCTGGTACTTGTTGTTGGTGGGAGATTTCAGGTATCCCATGGAATTAGTCGAGGTGCGCGCAAGCTGGCCCGGACACCATGGTTATAAAAAAGAAACAATGAGATGCCCACAATAGTACCTAATACAGATACATGTAACTATATCCACTAAAACTTAGGAAGATGAAGAAATCACCAAGCGTTTTTGCAGGGACTAGAATCCTGATTTCCCATGAACCATTTTAGCTTCATTGACAACCAAGCCACACCCTTGGATGCTCAGAAATCAAAACCATAGCGATATGATCTATTTCCTTATAGATATTGTTAAACCTTATATCATAAAAGAATAAACTTACACAGCAACTGGAGCATAGTTCGCGTTGTACTCAAATCTAACGTCATCTAGGCTCAAATTAGAAGCCCCTAACATGCTAATAATGTCACTCTTCCTTGTATGCCTTCCGATGCCATAGATTCTCCCATAAACCAAACCTGAGAAATAGAAAGACCAAGATCCTGGATCAATCTCATATGAGATTACATTTCCATAAGCATATGGCATGAATAAAGATGCAAGACTGCTGTTACTACCCTGCAAAAGCAGTGTAATGTAAAATAATTCATGCCCTTGCTAAAACCCTATAACTTTTAATCGTTGATATCTGCCTCCAATTCCATCTATGTGAGCTCTGTGAAACATAACTAGACCAAACTTGGAACTTGGATAAAGGAAGGGATTACAGTAGGGTGATGGTTAGCATAAAAATTGCCAAATTAGGATAGGACAGTGACCTTGTAGGAATGCGAGCGACAAGGATACAAATTATTAGTATAGCCAACCCCAGTTACCCCAACTAATCTGGATTGAGGTACAGCTGATTGATGATTATTGCCTCCCTCCACTCAAGTGTTAAATTCACAATCGATTAACAAAACTAAATCCAACAAAATATTTTCAGACATGAGTTTCTATAATCTGAAGGTGTTTAACACGTCAAATAGTTATACCTTGTAGCAAATTAGCAATTCTCAAACAATAAGCAAGCAGCAAAAGCCCTAAACCCTAAATCACTGAAGTATGAGAAAAGACAGGTCAACTTATCAAGACTGAGCTAGGGTACAAATAAGCACAAGGGTAGCCACATTTTTTGTACTATCCATATACAATCTAATAACTAATACAAATCCTTCATAACCACTTAACAATAATTTCAAAATTCTCAAGTATTTAACAGGGCAACTGTCATCCACTAGCAAATTGAAAATGCTCCAATAATAAGAACAGCCAAAACTTTAAAACCTAAACCCTGAAATATTTGAAAAAATGATATGTAAATGAACAAGACTACGTAAGAGCACAAATAAGCAAAAGGGTATCCATAATTTTCTTGCAATATGCATATCAATCTACAAACCATTAAAAACACCCATTTTATAAACAGAAAAGAGTGAATTTTAAAAATAAATAACAGCAAGAAAAAAAAATTATTAACTATTTGAAAGATTTACGGGTACCAGTAGATGGGTTTTGGAGGAATGTATCAAAGGAGTTGTCCTGCTGAGGAGTTTCCATTTGGGTTGATAACTGTCTGCTGAGGGACAACGTGAGCCCTTGATTTTGAAGACCCATTTGAATCGGACGGTTCGATTTAGTCACAGCTCTCAATAAACCCATCATCTTAGAATTCTGAAGCTAAAATGTTTTAGTGTAAAAGTGTGAAGTTTCGGCTAAGGCAATGAAGAAGCAGAGTAAACAATGGCTGCGAGGGGAGAAAATGACAAAAATGGTACTTTATGTTCCGGTTAGGTTCGGAGTAGTACTCAAGTAGTCCAAAACCTAAATGTGGTTCTCTACGGAAATAAGTGTAAAAAAAAAGAAAAGAGTTACTTATATATAACGCTCTTTTAAATAGCGCTATACATTAACGGACGTTTTGGAAGTTAAGTTATAGCGCTCTTTAAAAAAGCGTTATACATCTATAACGTTGTTATTAAAGGTGTTATATGTATAGCGCTTTTTTAAAGAGCGTTATACTTGTTTTGTGGGGCCACCAATAAGTCTCCTGCATTTAACTGACATAACAATAATTCAAATGGGTATAGCGCCCTTTAAAAGAGCGCTATACCTAAAAAAAATCAGCCCCCGAGCTAGGCATTGCCTTATTTAAAGGCGTTAGGATTTTTCAAAAATATTCGTAACTCTTGTTAAATTTTTCTTCTTGTTAAATTCTCAAGCATTTTTTTCATAATGTCTGAAGAGCGAAAAGTAAGGGTTTCATTATATTTGGGGGTGAGGTTGTGGTGGCAAACAGCTATAGTTTATCTCCACAGTGTCATGTTAAGTTGCCACTTACAACGGAGTATGATACATTGGTATCGTTGTTATGTAAAAATATGAGTGTGAGGAAACGTTTAGTGAACCTTAAAGTAACCGGAAGATATCCGTATTCCGTCACTCCGCAAGGGGTTGCTTGTTACGTTGAGTTTAACATTGACGATGATGAAACTTTGAGGGATTTTTTTAGGACTCCGGGTGAATACCGGGAATTTCTTGTGATAAAAATATTGGAAATGTACGTCAAGGTCGAAGACGTTCGCAATAATGAGGTTGAGCATAGTAGGGATAAACCTCAGTCGTCAGGTGGTTATTCTGGAGCAGTTTTTGCCGGACAGGTTCCGGCTGAAAGAGTTTGGCCTTATTTAAACTTATCACCACGGGCGAATGAAGAGCGAGAAAATAATTTCTCTCATGTTTTACATAATCCACAAGACGAGTGGTAAACTTCATTTTTTCTTAGTGTTACGATGTATATTTTTGTTGTATTGAATTTGTATTAACACTCATATATTCCACATGGGGTACCGGCCAGATATAACTTTTACAAGTTATGAACCCACGCCCAGTTGGAATATGCGTAGTTCTGGTGTGTTGGATCATGGTGGTCCATCCGGGAGTCATTACCAACAGGATAATGTCCATCAAGGAATGTCAACACATCACGACTTGTAAGTGAAGTGATACAGCTATATGGAAAGTATTTATTAATTTGAGTAGCTTATTATTTTATTGTTTGTGCAGTGAAAACGAGCAAGTTGAACCACATGTCCTGACTCAATTGCCCGAAGACGACATATTAAATCGGGATCTGGCAGATACACAGAGTGAGGAAGAGAACAGTGATTATGACAACAATGCCGATGATTCCGGAGACGACACACCCTTCCCTCGTAAGGATGGTGATGAGGAGGAAGGGAATGAAGGACCTGATTTGAAGAGGGAGTATGCTCAACCCCCCTTTAGACCAAGAGTGTGCGAGTTCCAAGTGCCGTTACATTCAAGGAAGATTCTCTACCTTGATCATTTGCCAAGTATGCCGGTTGTGGATACTCTCACAAGGGATTTTGATGAAATTCGGACAACAATGTGGGATGATTCTAGACTAACGGTGCTGGCAAAATGCATACTCTTTCCTGATAAAGCGCGCCTAAGCAGGGCGGCGAAAATGTACAGCGTAAAAGAGTGTCGTGAGATGACGGTATGAGAGTCAAGTCCGGATATATACAAGGTTGTTTGTCGCAGATGGTTTACGGGTTGTCATTGGATGCTGTGTGCGAGCAAGAAGAACATAGGTATGTGGAAAGTGGATAAATATATTCCCACCCACAGATGTGAAATGGACACATTCAATGGGAATCACTACAACTTGGATATTGACTTGATTTCTCTTGTCCTTATTCCACACCTTGAAGCGTCCATAAGGTATAAAATCAAAGAGTGCATTACATCAGTCCACCAGGAATATGGCCATACCATTACCAAAAGAAAGACATTTCTCGGGCGCAAATGTGCGTTTGAAATTGTTTATGGTAACTGGGATAAGCCATTTGCAGCTCTACCCAGGTACATGGCCGCACTGCAACACTTTAACCCGAGGACGGTTGTTGAATGGAAGCTTGAGCGGAGTCCGGGAAGACCAGAATATATATTCAATTACATGTTCTGGGCATTTAAACCAGCAATTGATGGTTTTCCGCATTGCCGGTCGATAATATCCATAGACGACACTCATGTCTATGGAAAGTATGATATCAAGTAGTTGATCGCCGTTGCAGTATATGCAAATGGACAAATATTTTCTCTAGCTTTTGCTATTTGTGACAATGAAAGCCAAGAGACATGGACATTGTTATTGAATCATTTGAAAGAGCACGTTATCAAACAACAATCCAATATTTGTCTAATATCTGATCGACATGGTGGTATCTTAAGTTCTGTAGAGAATTTGCCGGCATGGCAAGAACCTTATGCCTACCACCGTTGCTGTGTGAGGCACCTGAAGGCCAATTTCCAGAAGGCACATCCCAACAAGGATCTGCATGATTTGATGTGGATGGTACTAACAGACCACTAAGAGCATAAATTCCGGAGGCACATGGAATCTATCAGGCAGGAAGACGAGAGAGCCTATCGTTGGTTGATGCGACATGAGCTTGACAAGTGGACGTTGCATGCGGATGGTGGAAGAAGATGGGGAATTCTGACTACAAATATGTCAAAGTCTTTCAACGGGTTATTGAAGTCGGCAAGAGGATTGCCTGTCACTGCCATGGTGCGCATGTCGTTCAAGCAGATGACGGAGAGGTTTGTTGAAAGGGCTGCAGATGCAACGTCATTGATGGAAAGGGGTGTTGAATTTATGCCACTGCCGATGAAGAGATTTGAGAAATACAGGCGGCGAGCACATTGGCATTCATCTTTACAGTATGATCAGGACATAAATATTTTTGAAGTTCGCACCGCTATCCATCAAAATCGGGAGAATAATGTACATACCATAAATGAATCTACAAGGTTATGCTCTTGTGGGAAATGGTTCATCTACCACATGCCGTACTCACTTGCCATCAGGTGCTTTCAACATATTGGTTTAGGGCCAACCAACTACGTTGATAAACAATATAGTGTTGCTGCATACTTAAACACCTATAGTGGGCAGTTGCAGCCAGTGAGTACTGACCATTATTGGCCGCCGGAATCATTTAAAATAGTGTGTAATAAGGAGTTTTTGAGTCGAATACAGGTACAGAAGAGAACGCGTATACGAAACCAAATGGATGTTAGTGATACCGTTTATGCGTGCAAATGTGGTATATGCTCGCAAACAGGACATGACCGTCGAAAATGTCCTTCGGATGGTTTGGGTGGCGGTGGTAATCCAGCTCCTGGTGGAAGTTCTTCTAATGTGCCCAACTATCAAGGATGCACGTAGTAACTGGGTTTCGTAATATAGTTGTAATAAGTGTATGTACTTATTTATATTACAAGATGTATCAAATAAAATTATATTTCCATTATTGTTAAATCTTATTGATAATGGTCCATTTTTCAGTTAAGTAAATTAATGAATTTCTCCCTCCCGTTCATGTAATCAAAAATAGTATTGGATTAAAAAACGGAAAACTTTTTAGTAGACCTTCGAATTTCACGCTAAAATTATTATTAGAAAACTACACTGTCAGAGGAGGAAGATTTTTGATAAATATGTGAATATATATAGCGCAGTTAAATACTACGTTATGTGTTAGCATAGCGCATTTAAATACTACGTTATGTGTGTTGTCTTGTCGAACTGAAAAGTTGTCCGCTTGCGAAAAAGCTGTTTTGTATCCGAAAGAATATTTAACATGCGAAGCATAGCGCGGTTAAATACTACGTTATGTGTGTTGTCTTGTCAAACTGAAAAGCTGCCCGCCTGCGAAAAAGTTATTTTGTATCCGAAAGAATCTTTAACACGCGAAGCATAGCGCGGTTAAATAATACGTTATGTGTTAGCATAATGCGGTTAAATACTACGTTATGTGTGTTGTCTTGCCTATAAATAACGGACGCATTCTAGTTATTCTGTGCTCTTAACAATAACCAATAGCAAAACTCTCCATAAAAGCATGGTTTTTTTTCGCTTTAACAAATGTCTGAATGCCTTTATGTACCAAGGTGCCAGTGCGGCAAAAAATGTATGATGACGGACTATTAGGATGATGGTGAAGTTGGGCGCCGATACTGGATGTGTGTGAACATGTTTTATAGGATTCCCGACGAACCTTTATGCAATTTTGAGGTATGGATTCATGAACCCTGTAAGCAGGAATGCTACAAACAAACTTTGTAGTATATTTATGATTTGAACAAAAGATATGAACGTGATGAGATTATGTATAAACGAGAAATTGCGGCGTTGAAGGAGAAACTAAAAGAGGTGGAAGAAGAAAAAAATAAGTTGTTGGATCAATTTGAGTGGTTGAAGAAGAGAATAAATGACAAAACAAACCAATATATATGTTGAGTGTTGTATTTTATCTTTATGCTTTCTATGTCATGTATTTTCATTATGTGTGCCGAATTTAAATTATGTTAAGTTGTTGTGTTTGTGTTTGTGTTGCAATATTAAAATAACGAAGAACCCGAGAAATATATACATAATGCGCATATAACGAAAACAATAAAAATTGTTGCTATTAGTTACATAAAATAATATTTACATCAATACAAATAAAAATAAAAATTAATGTGTTCCACAACCTGTGTGCTTCAATGCAGCCGCTGGCCTAAGGCGCATCCCATCCCGTCCGGCTATGCTATCAGGATCATCCTTATCACGTCACCTCTTTATAGCAGGATGCGCTGCAACACAATTATCAGTAGTGCTGGCAGGATCGGTAGAAGGGGTCGTCGGTCCAGTAGTAACCTACAGAAGAATAAGTCACCTCAGTATAGGAAAATATATATTAAGTTACAACAATTTAAATTGTCTTACCACGATCTCGTCGGGCTCC